CACCCGGCACAGCATCTCGTTGCCACCGCCAGCATGCGTCCCCTACCACCCAGAACTGCGTCTCATGACCTCATCGGTGGCTCCACCGACGGCCCTAGTGGTACCGTCCGCATGCGTCCCCCCTACCCAGTACAGCGCCTCGTGGTCCCTTGGGGAGCTCCACCGAAGGCCTCAATGGTACTTTCCGCATGCGTCTCCCCTGCCCAGTACAGCGCCGCGTGGTCCCATGGGGAGCTCCACCGAAGGTTTCAGTGGCACCGTCCACGTGCGTCTCCCCCACCCAGCATAGCGGTTCCTGGCCCCAGTGGCAAAGTCCACATGCGCTTCCCTGGTGCATTGCAGCGTTTCGTGGCCCATGGGGAGCTCCGCCGAAGGCCCCAGTGGCAAAGTTTGCATGCGCCTTCCCCTCCCAGTGCAGCGTCTCGTGGCCCATAGGAACTGCACTGAAGGCACCAGTGGCTAAGTTCGCATGCGCCCCCCCCTCCAACCCAGCACAGAGTTTCGTGGCCCACGGGGAGCTCCTCCGAGATCGACATGCGAACGGAGACATTTCTCGAGGCGAACGAGGAAAAGTTTCGAGGCGAACGAGCATTTTCCCCCCCGAACCCGGACATTTTGTCAGGTCGAACCAGCAACGCACGCGGAGGCGAACGAGGCGAACGAATACATTCCCCTCGGTCGAACGAGGCAATTTCCAGCAGCCCCCTGGGAGAAAACCAGAGGGCCTGCTGAGCCAAAGAACGCCGACTGCACCACCTCGCAGCCCCTCGTCAGCGACCGAACGGGGAGGAGGAGGGAGGAGGAAGAGGAGGAGGAGGAGGAGGAGGGAGGAGCAGGAGGAGGAGGAGGAGGAGGAGGAGGAGGAGGAGGAGGGAGGAGGAGGAGGAGGAGGAGGAGGAGGGAGGAGGAGGAGGAGGAGGAGGAGGGAGGAGGAGGAGGAGGGGGTCCGCGACCCAGCGGACGCCCGTCTGAGCCAGCGACGGCTGCCCACGGGCCCCTGCCGGCGACGGTGGCCGCGCCAGCTGGGCCAGGACTGGGCTCCCGCCTCCAAGATTACCAACCTCGAACGTATCGTTAGGCTTCACGCGTGTTCGCTCGCGTGTGTGCCCCACACGCTGATGTCCCGCCCGCCCGACCCGACCCGCCCGTGAGGGTTCGCCCGCGCGACCCGACCCGCCCGTGTGGGTCCGCCCGCCCGACCCGACACGCCCGTGAGGGACCCCTTGTGTTACCAGCCTCGAGCGTGTCCCGATCCCTAAGATTGACACGCCAAAAGGCGACGACAATCTTAGGGAGGCGCCCTGACAAAATAAGGGATGCGCCCCTAAGATTGGCATCGTGATGAGGAGATGCCCAGCATAGGGATAGGGATATGCTCCAGGCTGGTAACAGGACTCGGGGCCCGAGGCCGCCCGCGCCTTCGCCGCGTGCGTGTCCCCGCGAAAAAACCCTACTGGAGAGCCGTCTGCGTCGTCGTCGCCTGTCGTAAATCTACCCGTCGAAAGCGAATCGGAAGAGAAAACCCGCAACAACACGAGCAGACGCCATTCACATGAAACCAGCTCGGATAACAACGAGATCCTTGCAACAGTCGCGGCCAAATGACACGCGCGCCTTGGTTCTGAAAGCTCCCGCTTGACAACGGCGCCCCCCGCCGAGTAGAGTTTTCATTTTTAGGGCAAGGTCCGCTGGTACGACGACGACGACGACCACGACGACGACGACGACGACGACGACGCTGGCGACGACGACGAAGACGACGACGATGTCGTTGTTGACGCCCGTACTCGCGGAAAGGCTCGTCTGCCCTAAAGTTGAAAACTCGGAGCGTTTCTCAACTCCATGCGAGGCTTGAACATTTCAAAATATTAAAGCGGTTTGCGTCGTTGTCGTCGTTGGTCGCAGGTGCTCTGTCGGTCGTCGGTCGATGGAAGGGAGGGGTAGGACGTCATATATAACGCGAGCGCACTTAGCTTGCAACCCGCGCCCCCACTCGCCCTTCCTCCGCGCCGCGCCGGGTCGTGAAGCCGAAGCCTCCCCCCCTCTCTCCTTCCAGCCGCGCTCCCCCACGCACCACTCCGCCCCGCCACGACCTAACCCGAACCCTAAGCTCCTAACCCTAAGAGCCTAACCCTACCGCCCTAAGCCTGACCCTAAAACACTACCCCTAATACCCAAAGGCCCTAACCCTAAAACCCCCTAACCTGTATAATCCCTGGGCTCAACGCCCTAACCCTGGCTCTAAAACCGTAAACTTACAACCCTAACCTTAACACCATAACCCTAAACCCCAATCCGAACCCCAAAACCATGAGCCCAACGCCGTAACCGTAAGGCCAACACCCTAACCCTGACCCTGGAACACCCTGAAACCCTAACCCAAACACCATCACTCTCAGCCCTGGACCTGGCACCCTAACCCTACGACGCGAACCCTATGACCCTGACCCGAAGACCCCAACCCTAAACCCAGAACCCTGATCCTGGTCCTCTCCCGCCTCGCACGCGCTGTTCGGACGTGGGGGCTGTCGGGGGCGGGAATAGGAACTGTTTGTGCGTGCGCGGGCGGGACCCACGGCGGCTGCGCGACGGAGGCGCCGCTCGCCGCGACGGGGGTCTCAGGGCTGAAGTCAAGCATGGACCTCGTGCATGAACCAGAGACCGCGATCCATCCTAAACTCGAAGCGAATCCAGCAGCGACGACGGGGACAGCGCCAAAGGCAAACCACGACAGAAGAGCATCCGAAGAACCCCCCCGCCGTGTCAGACAATTGAAAACTACGATTACAGACGTCAACGCCGACGTCCTCGACGTCGTTGACGCCCGCATTCGCGGAAGGGCAGCGTCTGCCCTAACATGGAAAACTCGGAACGCTTCTCAACTCCATGCGAGGCTCGAGGCTCGACAGTGTCAAGCTCAAGGGTGGTTTGCGTCGTGGTCGTCGTTGGTCGCACTACGTCGATCGTCGGTCGATGGGAGGGGAGGGTCGGCCCGGGCGCCCCCCAGCGCGCGGTGGTTCACAAGGGGTCCCTCACGGGCGTGTCGGGTCGGGCGGGCGGACCCACACGGGCGGGTCGGGTCGCGCGGGCGAACCCTCACGGGCGGGTCGGGTCGGGCGGGCGGGACATCAGCGTGTGGGGCACACGCGAGCGAACACGCGTGAAGCCTAACGTGCGGGCTGGGTCGGGCGGGCGGGGACCCTAACAGGCGGGTCGGGTCGGGCGGGCGGACCCTAGTGGAGCGGGGAACATGTATACCAATCCACTCTACTTGCCGCGTGGCAACGCCTGAAACGACAAGACTGCTGCACTCAAAGCCCTGCCATTGAAAACTTCCGCGAAGAGCGCGCGCCCGAACAAGCTCACACTTATAAATTGTAGAACAAGTCTCCACGACCAAGACCCTCACCGCAAAGAAAGTTCCCTCGCTCGGACAGGAACCTTTCCTCGTTCGCCGTCCTCTGTTTGGGTTGATTTCCTGGTTCGCCCATCGACCCTCCACACCGAAGGCCCCAGTGGCAAAGTTCGCATGCGCCTCCCCCGCCCGGTACAGCGTTTCGTGGCCCATCGTGAACCCCACGAAAGACGATACCCAGAACTGCTGTACTCACAACTGCATATGGTTGGGTCCTTCGCCAGGCTAATGTTGTTTTGGCGGTCTTAGCAAAACGGCGCACATCGCAGGGCGCTGACAGCAGTGCAGAAGAGGGGGAGGGGATGATTCATGATAGTTGAAGTCATCGTGCTGCGGTAGGCTCGTGCAGCGTCGGCGCGCGCAAAGGTTGTTGACACCGCGTCAACCGTTCAACCTTGAATCGAGCGCGGCCCCGATCGTTTAAGGACACAGTAGCATGCGAAACCAGATCGTTCAAGCGTGAACCGCGCAAGGGCGCAGAATTCAACCTTGAACGCGCTCGCTGGCGTTGCCAACGCGCCAACGCCGCGTGAACCTCCCGTAACGGCGAAAAGCTGCATAATGAACAAGGGGGCGTGTCTAGCCTCGGCGAGCATCGGCCGCGAATGGGTTCCCTGACCTAGACCAAAGGAGCGCGGTCCGACAACGAGAGCCCCTCTTCGAGCCCGAAATGGTCCGTACTCCAGCGCCCTGACTGTAGGTTTGTGGGTGCCACGACAATGAACACCCTAACAGTCCTACCATCGAATTAAAAATGTGTGTAAAATGTAAGAACAAATGTCCTGGAAAGGTTTGAAACATCAGTTTGACTTGTTAAACAGCTTTAACACATGTTCTGGACATCTGGAAATTATTTGGCAACTTACTTCCTCTCCATTGATCGTCCTCCACAACTGTAAGTCAATATGACACGATCCAATGACGCCCTCCTAGCCTGAGTGTGGGAAGATATGAGGCGACGCTGCGGGGCAGCCAGGCCAGCAGTGGGATGCCTCGTGAGCGACGCGGTCAACTGTATTTGGCAGGATAGTTCATGATGGAGGAGGAGGATGAGGCAGAGGGACGTTGTTCCAAAATTCCAAAAGTCGAAGGGCGGTGGGAGGGAAGGAGGGAGAAGGGAAGAGGAAGAGGGCAAAGGGAGATGATGGAGAAGGAAACCGAGGAGAGAGGAGAGGAGGACGGAGAGGAGAGGAAGGAGAGACGGTCGAGGGGTGGATGACTTTAGGGCAACAAGTCAGCAATAGGAGAGGGTATGGGCGAGGAAGGACGGAAGGAGCAGGCAGAGGGAAGGGGTACCGTGCGGAGGGGGAGAGAGTGGAGGGAGGAAGAGATAATCGGCGACGAACGAAGGGGAAAAGTGAGAAGGACAAAGCCTTCTCAGAAGGCTCGGAGGTCCCCCGGCCTTCTGAGACGTTCTGTAAGCCTTCCCCAGAGACACAGAACACTCCTCAGAAGGCGCGAAGGCTTCTGAGAAGCCCCGCCGCCGTCTGAGATGCCTTCTCCTTCTCAGATCCCCCCCTCGCTCGCCGCTGAGATGCATAAAGTGTGAGAGAGATGTAAAAAAAAGAAGCAACAATAGAGACAC